TGTAATTTACTTTGACGTATTTATAGCCCTTGGGACATTTGGTATCTGCCAGTTAGCCTTTAACTTTCCACGTGGTCCACCAAAGTGAATAGAATCGATTATATACTATTTTATTAAAAAGGGAATTTTAACTAAAAGCTATAATTTAAATTTTCTTCTGTGGTTCGTGAGGTAATACTGAAGGCCATTCCAAAAGATGAATCCCAACAATATTTTGAATGGATTGTATGGATTAAAATGGTTGTATGGATTAAAATATGTGCATAATATAAGTAGTGAAAACTTTAGAGGTGAAAAACTCATTGAGATGTTTACATTTTGGTTGTTTTTCTAAAGAGTACAGTAAAGCCACAGGATAATGTAAATTCTGGCAAGTTTTGGCTTTGGGTTCTCATTCTCCACTCAAGGATGTGGGGTTTGGTTGGGGTAGGCATTCAAGTTTGAGCACATATTTTATTTAAAAGATTGGTCTATTTCTGACATATCTAATAAGTAAAAATATTTTTGTTCAAGTTTATTAGAAGATAGACTGGAAAGAACTGGTTTTCATTAACTTCAAAATAGTTCAACTATTAGCTTTTGTGAGCTTGCAATTTTTGGATTCTATTTACAGCTTTTGGTTTGTTTCTTGTATTAGTTATAATATTTTATAATCATTCCTCATTTCCATTTTCTTTTTCTTTCCCTTTTTTTTTTTTTTTTTTTTAAGAAAAATTTAAGTCACTTGAGGAGATGAAAACAAGGCTTTATAATCCTGGCATGCCCCCTGTAATACTAGGCATTATAATTATAATATCAATAAAAACTAAGATATATGAATTATTTATAATGTGCTCAGCATTATTTTAAGCAGTTACTCACTTTAACTTATTTAAAGCTACGAGGTAATCAATTTATATTATTTCCAGTTTATAAATGAGAAAATTGAGTCAAAGAGTGGTTAAGAAGCGTGTTCTAACAGTGCACGGCTAGTATGTAGTTGAGCTCATTTGGATCCAGAGTGCACGCTTTTGCTAAAACCACACATGCTGCCACATATATGTCTTTTAGTTCATTATTTATTCATTTAGAAACATATATTAAAGACTAACTATATGTTAGGCAGTATCTTGGGCACAAGAAATATAAAAAATTACAGTATTGGCCTTCATTCCTGACACAGCCTAGCTAGGAGGAGAAAGTTAAATGAATTTTTCCTATGTCGATTCTCGAAGAAGTAGAAGTTTCTCAGAGAACCAGGAATAAATAGATGTCTTAGCAGCGAGGAAAACATGAAAAGAAATAGAGAAACAAGATCAAAGATTTGGGAAATGCAAGCACAACTGCATTCTGGAGTGTGTCAAGCCAAGTGGAAAGAGAGGGAGCAGGAAGGAGAGGCAGAGGCCAGACGATGGCTGGTTTTGTATCAGGCTAAGGATTTAAGGCTTTAGCTAGAAATGGTGGAGGGAGCCTTCAGAGAATTTTATGTAAAAAAGCTTGTAATGTCGATGACTTCTTACTGCTATCATAAAAGATTTCCTGTGCTTCCCATTTGTAGTTTTTTCTCACAGTACTTAGAGTATTCAAAGAGAATGTGCATGCTAGTTAAATGGGATAGTAGCACGTAGACTTACAAGACATTTCTGTGAATTAAGTCAGAGTAAATTCTGTATGTCAGACAGACTACAAGCAAGGCAAGGACGTACATTAACCATTAAATAAATGGAAAGAAAGAAAATGAACTGCAGAACGTACCTAGTATAAATGTTATGTGCTTGAGGAATGAATTTGAGAAATTATTGGCCAGGCCAATGATTACAAAGAGGCACTGCTTCTTTGAAAATCTACTTTTTGAAGTGCTGTTGTAGTTATGGCATAATAGCTGAGCAGATAGACTTGGTAATGATTCAATGCTTTGTTTACACCTTCCACTATCTCTAGATTTGTAACTAAATCTTTAAGTGGGCACATTTCCTGAAAATATATTGAAAAATAATTCTCTTTTTGATTGTATGAATAGAGAAGTGAAAAATTCATGTTGAATTTTAATTCAGCTAAACACTGGTTAAAAAAAGGACAAAATTAGAGTTTTTCCTCATTCTTACTTACAGTGTATAAAACATGATTAATGGGCATCTTTGATGACTGAGATTGCAAACATGTAACTGCCATGCTCAAGGCAAGTTACATTATGTGAATCAGCTAGACTGAGGAGGGCTTGCTGTGTTTAACACGATAAAGGAGGCATGCTTTTCTGCATGTTCTGCCAATTCAAAATGATGTGATTTCCAAAAGATAAAAATGTATTTATCCTTGGCAGGCCGTGGCATGCCTAATGAGTATCATTTTAACATTACTGCTGCAGCAATGGAAATGTTGAAGGAGAATTGTAGATTTTGGTTAAGAAATACATGTAAAATCTACAAAATTCCTCATTCCTTTGGGGGCTTACAGTATCTGATATTTGGCAGAATTTTTTAACCTTTAGTTGATCTGGCTCAAAAGTAAGTCTTTGTTAGGTTAAAAATGTTGCCAGTCCTATTAGCCAAGTCTCTATCGCTATGATAACATTAGCTTTAATTATTTGCCATGCTTGCTAAAATTTGGACAGATGTTGATGTGCTTCTACATCTCAGACCCCTTACAAATGCCACCTTCTTTTCCTGGTTCCTTCCACCTTCTCATTTGTATAGATCTGTATAAAAACAACACATTTATTAAATGAATTATGTTACTGTTCATGCATGCAGATTTTTCCATTTTTAACAAAAATATAATTTACTGCTATAAAATTTCCCCCTCTTTAAAGTGTACATTTCAGTGGTTTTTAGCATTTGCAAAAAATTGTGCAGTTGTGACAACTATCTAATTCCAGAACATTGTCATCACCCCAGAAAGTTACCCAGTTACCTATTAGCAGTCACTCCCCATCGCTCTTTCTCCCCGGCCCCTGGTAACCACTAATCAATCTACTTTTGCCTCTGCGGGTTTGCCTCTTCTGGACATTTCACATACAAATAGAAGCATACAAAATACGGCCTTTTGTGACTGTATTCCTTTACCTAGCATAATGTTTTTAAAGTTCATTTTGTTGTAGTCTGTATCACTATTATTTTTTTTATTATAGAGTAATATTCTATCATATAGATATACCATTTTTTGTTTATTCATTTATTAGTTGATGAATATTTAGGTTGTTAGAACTTTTTTTTGAATTATGCTACCATAAACATTTGTGTACAAGTTTTTGTGTGGAACATGATATACATTTAAATATATTTTATTAAAATTAAAAATATTAACATTAAAAATTTTTTTAAAAGAATTACTACAACATTAAGATATTTAAAAAACATAACAACTATTAACATTTTGGTTTATCTTGTTTTAGACTTTTCCACTTACTAATACTTTCATTTTTAAAAAGCACATTTTGTATCCAAATATGCATACTGTTCTATATTCTATTATTTTAACTTTATTTTTGCTATATCAAAGTATATGTGGTATATATTTCTAAGACAGGATTTTTAATAATTGTGTATATGTTATTTTTATTTTAAATGTTTCTGTACATTAAAATCATAATACATTGCTTTATTTTTCATTTTATTCCCTTTCTTTCCCTTACTAGTAGCAAGCAAGTACCTGGAATAGTAGTCTTTCAATAAATGTTTGCTGAAATGGCTTTATGACATATATAGAGTCACAGAATTTCAGATTTGAAAAGAGTCTTAAGGGTCTGTGAATAACATGAGTGATACTGTATTTTAGTTAAAAGTGGGTTTAGCCAATGACTGTAATTTTGGCTCTTAAACTTCTATATTTAACCAGTATACTATATTCTTTGAATAAACCATTTGAGAAGATTGACAAAAAGACTAATAGGAAATTAGTTTCTAAGTTAAATCATGAGTAATACTTGACAACTTTCTGAATTCCTATACAATAAAATTTGAAATTTGTAAGAAGTCAGTAAATGATTTTTCAACCAGTTTAAAACTTCATTCATGAAAATACATATTATTTTCCAAAATTACAAAATGTTCACCAAAGTCATTAAAAGTGCCTCAGCTATCTCCAGTGTTGTCTTGTCAGATAGACATAGGTTGTTTCAAAAGAGTGAAATGTATTTGTTTTTCATGTTGCATTCAAACCTAATTTTCTAACATCACTGTTGACACTAAATCTGCTGTTGAATCACAGTAACACCACCGACTGTATGATGCCAAGTTGAGTGTGTTCCAACTTTTAAAAATATCATCAATCCTAGCACCTGATTATGGTGTTGAAATACTGTTTTCACTATAGGAATCCAGATCTTCTTGGAGAAACTGCTGTTTCCAAGTTCTGGGGCAGGATATACACAAAATTAGCTCAGAGCAACTTGTTAGTCAAATTTCAAGGATTCCCTCAGAGACCACCAGGGCCAGAGACTATCAGGAGCCAAACTAAAGAGGCCAACTCACTGGCCAAAGTTGGGACAGTTTGAACTTTTATAAGGTGAACCCCATCAAATATATTTAAATCCTTAAATTCATCATTAAAAATTAATTAGTCATTTTTGGAAGATGTTTATTATCTTCAAAACGGATTTTTTTTTTTTTAACAGGAAAATAACCAAGCATTTATGGTACCTTCCCCATATGAACTGTCCCACTGGGTAACATAGTAGATGAGAAGCTAGTCTTAATAAAAAATAGCATTTCAATGAATAAATAAAAAGAACTGATAGAATTATAATATCACCATTTTTGCAGTACACATGAACTACAGATCTAGGCATTAAGCTGTTAATGCCTAGAAAAGCAGACCCGATATGCCTCCTGATGAAAGCATACACCACCACCTGGAGTCTTGCCAAAGAGATCAAATCTGAAATTGCTCAAGGGTCTTGACCCAGCTGCCATTTTGCAGGAAGTAGAGGGAAGAGAAACTTGGTGAACTGCCCTGTGGATATGCAGTCCACAAAATCCAGGTTGAGGGAAACTGCACATTAAATATCCTGTGTTCTTCCACAGGTACAGTGAAGAGAGAAGGGAATGGAGAGAGGCACCGGAGATTGAAAGTGACTTTACATATATGTTGATTTATTTTTTAAAAGTGGGTAAGACTAAACTGTATGAATTGCCTGGGGCTTATTGTGTTAACGATAAGACTGTAAAAGGCAAAAAGGGGATTACTGTAAAGGCAAGACAGTGGTTTGTAGGGAGAGAGATGGTTCTGTTTGGGATGGGCCACATGGAGGGATGCCTGGGTGCCTGGCAAAGCTTGTTTTCTTGATTCAGGTGAGGGTTTCAAGGGTGCTGTATTAGTTTTCTATTGTTGCTGTTAACAGATTACCAAAAAAATTAGTGGCTGAAAACAACAAAATTTACTATCTCACAGTTCGGTAGGTCAGAAGGCCAGGTGAGCTTGACTGGAGTGTCTGTTATGGGTCTCACAAGGCCGAAATCAAGTTCTCATTCAGCTGGGCTGTTATCTGGAGGCTCTGGGCTCATTCAGGTTTTTGGGCAGAATTCAGTGCCTTGTGGCCACAGGGCTGAGGATCCTGTTTTCTTGCTGGCTGTTAGCCAGAGCGGATCTCAGCTCCTCAAGCTTACCCATATTTAGTTTACATTGTCCCCCCACCTTCCAACAGCAAGAATGGGTTAAGCCCTTTTTATGCTATGAATCGCTCTGTTTTTTCCTTCCTCTGCAACTCTTTTGGCTTTTTTTTCCCTATTTTTAAGGGCTTATTTAAAGAAGATAAATGAGGTCAAATATAGGATGACAGAAGGAGACTGGACTTCAGGTGGTGAGCACATAACAGAATATACAGGTATCATATTATAAAGTTGTACACCTGCAATTTATATAACTCTCTTATCACAATACATTTAATTTAAAAAAGAAAAATTTTCTTACCTTGATAAATCAGGATAAGCTCCCTCTTTTAAGGTCAGCTGGTGATTAAATTTAATTACATCTTCAAAGTTCCTTCACAGCATTACCTAGATTGGTGGTTGATTGAATAACCAGGGGACCAGAATGCCAGGAGGATGTTTTTAGAATTCTGCCTGCCACAGGTATTTTTGCCATTTTATGTAATGTATTTTATTTTACAAATATAAAGACCACAAAATTATTGAGACATGCAAACTGGTGCCTTCTTATATTATTTGAAAGATTCTTATTAAAGATGCTTACTTTTCTTTAGAAAAAAAAAAGTGATTTATTTTCTTAGCTAAAGTATTTTGTACTTTCACCTTGTCTAAAGATGGCAAAAAATGTAGGTATAAAAAAGTAAGTTCTGGAATTGGCTGCTTTTATTACTGTAAGTAACTCTAAAACATTTGCAATAAAAAGTTATGTCAATAAAATTTACAATTTGTACAGAGTTATTGAACATAGCTTTAAAGGTGCAGTCTTTTTGGGGGGTTCTGGGTTCACAGGGTATGGCTGCTGGTATCTATTTTGGTGATAGCTTTTATAAGACCAGATACTCCTTTGGTTTTCCTGCCATTTCAGAGCTACTTTTGGGTATAGTTGTCATTACTTTTTTTTTTCTAACTTAATTGATGGTATATCAAAATTGATCTGTACTGGAGTGGGCAAATTTTTCCTGTAAAACTACCAGATAGTAAATATTTTCAGTTTTGTAGGCCATATCGTCTCTATTGCAAATATTCAACTCTGTCGTTGTAGCCCAAAAGAACATAGACAATACAGAAATTAATGGGCATGGCCGAATTTGGCCCATCTGCCACAATTTGCAGACCCCTGACCTACACATTTAAATATTTCTTCTCTTATTGTGGTTTCAATATTTTACTAATGATATATTTTCATTGCATTCACTTGTATAAGCATATTATACAAAAAATAACCAAAGTAAAGACAGGCACAAAAATTTATATTTCCCTTAGTTATAGCATAAAGATTTCAATGTTTGAACCAATTTTTCAAGTATGTATACTGCACATATCTGAATTCTTCTCTGAGCTCTGATAACAAAGCTAAGTACATTTCTGTATCGATCTTACTCATTCATTTATTCATTCAACAAATATTTATCGATCACCTAATATGTGCCAGGCGCTATTCTAGATCCTGGAGATAAGCAGTTAAGCAAAGTCCCTGCTGTCACCATGCACGCACTCAACTTGCTGTTGATGTCAAGAATCCAGGATTTAAGAAGCATTTTCTAGTAGTTTCTCCCTGACCTGCAACAGAGTAGCATATGAATATGAATGTTAATTCACTTTTGATGTTAGATTTAAATATTGTTTGCCTATGTTTTCTTATAAATTGACTGTGTAATTACTGTTGAAAAAAATCCTAGAGTCTATGTTATATGTTCACTACAGTTCATTTCAGATTTACATTGAAGTTTGTTAGGAGTCAGCTTTATCTTGCAAAATTTTACTGTGTAAAACTCACTGAAGACCTGGGCAATGTACTGTCATACTTTGTCTTCAAGTTTTACTGTGTGAATTTGAGAGATGTTGCTTTTCTTGACCATGCTGTGATTGAAATCAATCCTAGCTGAGCAATTAGCTGGTAATAATTGAACATTTTGACATTTTAATTTGAGCCTCATTAATTCATCATAGCCATCAACACATATTCTTTGAAATGGCATTTTTAATCAGTGATGCAGATTCATTCTTGGCTTTTAGGGAATTTATTCTTGCCTGGGGAAAAGAAAAAGTTAGATAAAAAGACCCCAAGACTTATAATAACCCTATAATTAAAATAAAAAATCAGACTTTAACCAGAGCTTACAATAAGCACAAGTATTAGGCATTCACTTCTATTGCATAACCGATAGTTAGATGCTGTGATGAGAGCATCCCCATCCTTAAGCCTCTTCTGGCATCTAACTGAATGTATTACATGTGTCTTGCAGTCATGTCCTTCCTCACGTACTTTTTCGTGAATTGACATGCATAAGCCTAAATTAAAAAAAAAAAAGTTGAACTACAACTTACCTCTTCAATCACATGTTTACAATATAGTATTTATATATCACAGATATGTTTAGAGAAACTTTATTCGAAGATCTGAATAAAAACAAGTTATTCTGGTAGCACTAGTTTCTACTCTGTTCAGTTTTGGTAGGTGCTTGCATGCACATAGTGTTTTCTTTTCTTAAAAACATTGCAAATAGTTGAACTATATAAAAATATGAATCATAGGTTTGTAGAATTCCTGGAGCACCTCCATAAAACCCCAAGATTCTGTAGAACAAATCCGAGAAATGTGATCTAAGTCAATCCCTTTATCTTCTGAAAGAGGAAAATGAGGCCCGGAGAGAAGGCATGTTCAACATGGCCGCCCTAGAATCGGACCCAAGGGCCTAAGCCCTGGTGCAGCGCATTCTCCATCGCTGCCTACTTTGTGTTCAACAGGCATTACAATCCCTGTAATTTACTTTAGAGTACTTACAGCCTTTTGATACGCACAGTTAGCTGGTTAGACATGATGCTGGCCAGACAGCATCGTCCAGTGGTGGCGTCAATGTCATGTGAGAGCAGGCCCACTGGAGAAGCAGCTGGTACAGGCCTTTCTATTCTATATCCTTTTGATTAACTGTGGATGTTTTATGAATTAGCATATTGATTGCAAATTTGGGTTTTCAGTGTTGAATGCTGCGTTTGTTCATTAGCATGAGAGATGTTAGAAATAGACTCTAGCTCTCACAGATGAAATTGGACATATTTTGGACATATGGATTGGCTAGCACTCTTTTATGGATAGGGTACAAGAGGCCTATACTGGTCTTTTTAGGATTGACACTCATGCTGTGAGCCCCTGATTGGTTCTCAGTCAAGAAATTGGCTCAGGAAGCCTTCTGATTGCACGGTGGCCTCTATGCACAGAAAGCAGGCTCAGAAATCTTGCCAAGTCTGTTTCAGGTGAACTTTTCATACCACTGAAAAGGGCTTTATCCACTGTGTACAGCAAGTCGTATAAACTTCTTGCTGATAAGTATTTGCCAATAAGTGTCTGACTGTGTGTGGGAATTTGGACTGAGGTTTGTTTCCATTCAGATCTCATAGCCAGGCTGTGGGAGAGTAGTACACTCCCCATGTCTCAGCATTCTTTGGGGGCCACTGAAAAGAATGTGACCATGCATGACCAAACTGGCTGAGGTACGTGTGCAACTCCAGGCGGTATCTCATTTTGATAATTAGTGGAGTCTTAAGTCTCCTGCTCTGTTAATATAGTTCTTCCTTCTCCCCTTTACCACAGCCTTTTGTTAAATGTACCAAAAAGAGGGAGTTGCTGCTCTGGCTCTTTGTGACTTCCTGGGAAGTGATTGATTTGTTGTTCTTCAGCTTCCTTCCCTTGCTGGCACTACTGCTTTTGGAGTACAAAAGGTCATGATCACTCAGGCCCCCAGCAACATTCTTTGTAAAATAGAGTCCCAGAGCCAGATCCACAGGTAGTCAGTCATTGGGGCAGGGAAGGGACGTTGGGTATTTGACCTGGGCTCTTGGAGCTCAGGGAAGTTAGTGGTTGACCAGGGTTATGGGCTGAACTGTGTTTCCACAAAATTTATATGTCAAAGTCCTAACCCTTAGTACCTCAGAATATGACTATATTTGGAGATAGGGTCTTTGAAAGAGTCATTAAGTTAAAATGAGTTCAGTTAAGGTGAGCCTTCAAGTAATATGACTGGTTTCTTCGTTAATTGAGGAGATTAGGACAATTACAGAGGGAAGACCATGTACAGATACTGGTAGAGGACAAGCCAAGGAGAGAGGCCTCAGAAGGAACCAACCCTATCAGCACCTTGATCGATCACAGACTTCCAGCTTCCAGAATTATGAGACAATAAATTTGTATTGTTCAAGTTCTCTTCGATGCACCCCACCCCCCTCTTCCTGCCCACCAGTCTGTGATCCTTTGTTATGGAAGCCCTGGCAAACTAATACATCAGGCCAGTTTGTTTCAGATTCTAACTTCTTGGTTTCTCCCCTTCATCTATTGCTGCAGCTTTGGCCCAGACTCTGAAGATTCACACGCTGGAATTGGAGTTCAGCGTGAGAGGTGCCTTATAACATTCTGTTCGTGTTGGAGTGAGTTCCAGGAGGCAGTGTAGTGCGCAGTTGGCCCTGCAGGAGGAGCTGGCTTCAGAACGGAGTGAACTTCAGACTTGCAAATGAGAAACTTCCAGCAGCAGCTCCAGGCCCTGCTGGGAAGAGCTAACAGAGATGTAACATTCTGGATTATTTTTAGTCTCTTCTCTGCAGGTGAGGAAAACTCTCTTTCTCCTCCAAGTTAAAAACACATGCTCCAATACCACAAGAGCTGGGTTCTCAACTTTCTGTTCTCAGTCTTTAAGAATGGACCGGATGGAACCTTTCCCAGCTCCCAGCTAGGTTATCCATCCCTGAAAATCAGCTCTACCAGTTGGAACGCAAGCTGTAGATAAACCCCAAATTGATCCCAAGATTAGGAGGAGAAAAGTACACCAATCTCCTTTAAAATACATCATCAATCTTTATAGTCTTAAAATCATGTCCAGAGGGAGGTTGAGATGTATCATGTCTGTCTCTATCTTATAATATTTGTGTTCAACTTGCCTTCTGTCCATGTCAGTGATGGATACCCTGTCCCCACCACTGACAGTCCTGTTGGCAGTCACTGTGGATATTCAATGCACTTAAAAACAGTTAAATAAATAGTTTTCCAAAAGAAGGGCCGTGGGGTGGGTTGAATCAGACTGTGGTCTGCCTGACATAATTGGTGCCTCTACCAATTGGGACCTGTCTTTTGGGATTTAACATTTTGAGATTGATGCATTTTTCATTTGGAACTTCACGTTTAAAGAAATACATTGTTTGTAGCAGTAAAAGGTTACTATTTAACTTTCATGAACCATGTCTATAAAACTGGAGTAACTCTACCTGTCCACCTTCTTACATGTGTGATAGACACAGAGGAACAAGCCAGTTGTTTTAAAGCACTTGGTATTTGAACAAAAATCACACACAGAGTCTAAGCTTCCTATAATTTATCAGTGCATTCTAACTCCTAGGCCCTGTGTCATTAATGAATCATTCAGTTACTGAGTTCTAGCAAAGAATTCTTATGTGCTAGAATAGAGATGAAAAAGAACTAAAAAAATGCACATGGATGAAGAAGAGGCTAGACTATAAAGCAAGCCTCTCATTTATCTCCAGAGGGATCAGATGGCCTCGCTGAGGCAATTTTTGTTCTCCTAGTCACTGAATGAGTTAGGGTCCTGCACATCTGAGGTCCCTGACTAGGGCTGTGATTCAAGTTATCTAAGTGGTTGAGTCTAATGAATGTTTTCAAGTCTTGAAAGACAGTAGCGATGATAATGCAAGGGACATGTTAGTATTTTCATACTTTTTTTCACTTATTTAGTGTTTTCAAGTCATACGATTGGTTTGCATCTGAGCTAAATGAGACAGGACTGCTGCTGAGGGTGCCCATGCAGCTTAAGTTTATTTTTGGAGTGAACAGGTGGATATAAACCCATTTCCAATAATGCAAGAGAAACAGTATCCAACAAATTTCTGATTGGAGAAAATAGTTATGAAGAATGTGACTGAAACACCTAGACAATATTTTAAAAAATATTTTTTATCATGTGGAAGAAGGAATTAGAAAGCCAGGGTCAACTAGTTATAAAGGAAGTAGTTTTGTTTGCTCAGTTGAATCAGGAAATGTAAGATTAAGGGAATGGTTGGGATTTAGCTCACATCTGTGAGGAAAGTTTTGGGTTTTTAATTTTTTTTTTTTTAAATTAAAACAAACGGAGAAATGAGAAGAGAGAGCAGGAGACAAGGAGAGAGAAAAGGCAGGACATTTGAGCGCCTTGAGAGATACGGGTGCCCTGGACAGTCAATTCACGTGACACCACTTTACACCACCCTTTTAAAAATATTTGCCATATATTTATTTTAGAGGAGGGGCTGGGAACCACGTGGGGAATAGCAGAGAAGGAAGGCTATCTCGTGGCAGAGCCCACTCTCACCTCTGTTGTTAGGGGATTCAGCTCTGGCCCCAAACTTAGATGTCTTCCTTTACCAAGTAAGAGTCTTGCACACCCCTTGGGAGTGTCACTGAACAAATACGTATGTTCAATGCTAGGACTCACCTAGAGAGTTCGCTCGGCCGCAGATGACTTAAAATTCTCGTAAACACACGCAGTCTTCTTGTTTTCTCCATCTTCTTAAATTTCCAGTGGAAATTTAGTACCCTAGTGACATATATGTCACATCCCTCATAGATTGGTGTGTGGGGCAGTTGATGTGAGTGAGGCAGAGGGAAGGAGAGAGCTAGAGGGAGAGATTTTTGTGGAAGGCAAGACTCAACAAAAGGAAGTTCCAAATGACTTAAAGATTGTTTTACCCAGTGAAAGGGAACTAGAGAAACGTTTAGAGCGTAACAGGAATGAGAATGGTAACAATTTGAGCTTATGCCTCTATCTTGGGAGTTGACTTTGCAAGTGGGACTACTCTCTATTGTTTATGCTCTGCTGTTTGAAAAACAATGTGCACTTTAAAAAACGTATACGACTATTCATGGGATCGACAGACCTAGGATCGTGATAGTCCACTGTAGAAGGACTAAATCACCTGAGCAATTTTTTGCTTGACAGTGAAATGATAGAAGAGACTGTATGTTGGCTTAAAGATTTTGCAAAATTAAACTATATGTATTGGTACTATGGCAGAATGTACATGTGACATTAAAACCAACATTTCCAAAGAGTCGAAATGATTTGGAGAATTATGTTTATCTTTGTGGACGTGAATGTAAAAAAGCCAAGTGTCCAGTGACTAAAGGCATAAATGAGATTTATGAAATGATGAGACCCTTGGCATTGCTGTACCAGACTCAGCCTCTGGGGAAATAGCGGTAAACATTCTGAGTCTTCTGAGGAAGTAATAAACAGTAAGCAATATGCCCTCCACACTGACTGCCAGTCATCTAGCTTGTATTCATCATCACAACCTTCTAGGCTGGGAAATAACTTCATCTAATCCCATAAATTGTTGATCTTATACAGAATGAAGATAGAGATGGTCTTTCTTTACCTCCAGTCCTGGATATCTATAGGGGACTTTTCCTTTTTTAGTAACCAGAGAAAGAGTTTGCTTGCAAAGGGAGGAAGGCTGGTAGCATTAACCTGTAACCTTCCTTTCATAATGAGGGTGCATTTTTTTGCCACGAGTTTTCACAGAAGATCTATCTGGACCTTTACTCTACCTTTCTCCAGACTTCTGGTTCCCTCCCTCCACTGCTTGTTTTCATTTCTTCCCAAGATGTCATTAATGGTTCCCACATTTCGTAGGGCCCCTCAAAGGACAAAGATGAAGCACGGGAGAAATATGTGAATTGCTGGAAAGAGCCGTAGTGGCTGTAGGCTCTGAGGCCTGAGTCCCCCCGTGAAGGCACATTCTTGCTCCATACAATGCAGCTCTCTCGTCCACAGCGAGGTGCTTCTACTTGCACCTAAAAGCCCAGCATGCAGCTCAGACACAAACCACAACCTGTCATGTCACTAACAGCACAGATCTCCCATGACATTTCCTGGACTCGCTAGCTTAGTAGAAAGATCACTGCCATGCAGTGTCAGCCTCCAGGAGTCTTATGATGATAGAGGCTGTCTACATTTGAGAAATTTTCATGAGTAAGTTTTATGGAATCGAGAGACCTCAAGACAGTAGACAGCAGTGAGAAAGGAAAATACACTCAGGAGGTTTAAAAGATGATAATATGCTTGGTTGGTGGGAGAATAAATGCTGCTTTAGGTTTTATTTCGTTTTAACAAAATAAAAGTAAGAATTCTTTTTAATCACATGGGGCAGAGTCGTTTGCATCAGACCCTTTGCACATTTAGACAGCAGGCTCTATTTCTCAAGACTATAAATTCTGTATTCAGTTTAAGAAAGTGTATTTTTGATTGAGGTTAACACAGTATTTAAGTTAATGGAAAACATGCTTCCATTGCAGAGTATTTCCACCAGAATTGCTGGATTCTGTACAAAAATCTGTTTCTATTTTGAAAAAAAAAAAAAAAGTGGTACTGACCTAAATATTCCTCTTTTCTTTTATTTCGCTCATCTACATTTATCTGCTTTCTTCCTCAGGTATAGACAAATAAACGACATAGTATGAATTCAGATGAGAACATTTCCTAGTGGTATATATCTTTAATGTTTCAGAAAAATTAAAAAATATTTTGCTTAAAATCTGAGCTGCATGTCATTGTAGGAAGCGTGAGTTTCCATTGCTGCTACCCAAACAATATTGGAATCGGGAAGAGAGAATCAGAGTGTCTTAGAAATGTGACTCTTAAACCTTGTGTGAATTAGCAGTTTCTGAGTAACAAACCACCCCAGTAATTATTGGATCAAAACTGCAATCATTTTTTCTTGCACACATATCATTTTCAGGTAGAAGTTGGTTAATCTAGTTGATCTTGGTTAGGCAGCTCTGTTTCATGTTGGTTCCAGCTAGGTTTGATTTCTTGCTTGTGCTTACATCTCTCAATGAGTATTAATTCTGAGGCAGGCAGCAGCTACTGGGGGACACTCTTCTCAAGGTGAAATTCGGGTGGGCAGGCAAGAACATGGCTTAAACTTGGAGCTGGCCACACTGTTACCTCCACCCATTTATTGTTGACTAAAGTGGGTCACACAACTAAGTCCAGCATCGACGAGGTGGGAAAATTTTGTAGGAGGAACTGCAAAGTCATGTGGCAAGGGCGTGGAAACACGAAGAGAAGAGCTGCAGCTGGTAATCCATCAGAAACCCCAATCTGTTCTTTTTCCTGCAGGCAGGAATGTTATTGTGTTAGCCTCCCTTCTCCACTGGGGAGGCAGGACATTAGGGGGAGGCAACTGCTCACAGTAGTGACTTGCTCTGATCTCTAGGTATAACTTTTCCAGTGATTCTCAAACTTTGGTGTTTGATAGGATTATTGGTGAGATTAGTGCCAATACAGATCCTGAGTCCTATTTTCAAATTTATTAAATCAGAATCACTTGGGGAGGGCCAAGTCATTTATATTAACAAGCTCCTCAGGTGGTGTTGATGTACTTTGACATTTGACTCACATCCCTAGATGTGAGATGAATTGAAGTAGTTAGCCTGGGTCTTAAACTTGATGGGACCTTGGCAGTTTGGCATTGTGATAGGTTGCATTATTGTTTGGCAAATAACACACACACACATACACACACTCTCTATTCCTTTATAGGAGGTGTTTATT